ACTTGTAAAATCTGCAGAAAAGAGCATAGCCGGATAAGGGAGTGAAAAGAGCCCCTAAACCAAATTAAACTTGCAATGGACCATTCGATAACTTATCGAAAGAAAATACTTTGTGCTAGTTTTCAACCTTATATGTCGAATTGGGGGTAGTAATGGGGTGACAAAGAAAATCATATTCTTTCGCAATTTCTCTTATCTTCTTCAATTAAAAATTCTGAAAAGATCTGGGATATGTTAACTATTAGGATGCATATCCATGAATTTTTTCAGAATTTTGGCTTTAAACCCGAATTTTTACAAATTAAAACAGTTTTGAAATGCCGATTTCTTATAGAAGTTATGACTGACTAAGTTTATATTTTTACAGTTTTAGCATCTCGTTATGTCTGGTTATTTCAGATTTTTCAAAGTGGCGGCACATAGTTAACAAAATCAAAAACCGGAAGCTTTTTATATTACTTTTTACATTACTATTATTATAGTGTTATAATGACAATTTAATTCACACTATGGCTACATCCGCGGTAATGAAACATATACTTAAACAAAAACGGCTATAACCATGACTACTGAACAGCGGATTTTATGTTTTTATAAACAGAAAAATGAGTAAATGAAATCTAAATCGGTTAAAACATTTAAAGAATTTAACACTAAATTTACAGAACAAAAAAAAGCAGCTGTTTTATATTAGTTTATAAAAGTGACTATAAGACATTTGTTCTGATTTTTAACAAGTGTTATTGCAACATTTGCCATAAGTAACATATAAATTAAATAAATAATTCATAAATGTATCTTTACGATATGAATAACCGTAAATTAAAAAATTCCCGTCATTCTGACGGGTTCCGTAAATATAGTGTTAAAGACACGATTGCATTGTTTTCGACTCATTAAAATTATTAAGAAAAAACATAAATGTTCGTTAAGCTTCCTAAATCTTGTAGTGACTGCACACAATTTTTGTTATACACAAAGATCCCCGGTCTAATGATAATGAATAAGACACTCGTTCAACAAGCTACGGCTCGCACAATTTTGACTATTTAAACTTTAAAAAAAATTATATCGCATGTTGCAAGTAACGAAAAACACGCGCGCAAAAATTGAACGCAAACACAGTTTTCCACTTCTCTCAAAAAAATAATCCCAAAGTACAGTAATTTCTTCCTAATTCGCGCTCAGATTGCGCACAAAAATGGACAATTTGGGAAGAGGAGTTGCGATTGTTCGAGCCTTGCGTCTCGTTTTTACAGTTGTTGACAATCGGTAACCATAAAAACGAGCCGCAAGATTCGAATGATCGTATCTCCTCTTCCCAAATTGTCCACTTTTGTGCGCGAACTAAGCGCGAATTAGGGAAAAATTACTGTAACACGTTACATCAGAACCGCCCCTCGATCGAAATGTTTAATTACCTCGCACCAGGGCCATCGTTCGATTCGCCAGCACGTATCGCCGCCACTGTGCACTCAACTAATTGTTCCTCGGAGCGTTCAGAATCACAGAGACCCGATAAAAAGCATGCTCGAACGTGAAATTCAGTTTCGTGTATCGCGCGGCGAGCGATTTACTCGAGCGTTCCGGGACATTGATCCGACACAGGCGTCCGATCGCGCACGAGTGAGCAGAAATCCTGAAAACAAGAGTCCGAGGCTAGGAACGGTGAGCAGACGCCGTATAATGAACAGAGAATTCACTCTAGCCCGATCATTTTCACTTCCGTGGAAAAGAAAAGGGAAAGTGCAGTTGGTAGTTTCAGACCAAGAAACCGTGCGCGTTGCTGAACGAGTATGCTGCTCGCGGCGGCGGACTTCGTGCGATTATCTGCTCGAAGACAATCCGAATTGCACACTGCGTTCGCGTCGCATCCCATCGCATCGCATCGCGAACGCAGTGAAAACGGTAAATTAAAGTTCGCGCCGCTCGCCGAAGAATTTTTATCGACAAGGCGCGAAGGAACCCCCCCGCTCTGTAATTCCGCAGAAGGTCGTTATTAAAAACGGTATCCGGTAATTTGTACATCTGTTTGCCGCGTCTATTATCGGGAATCCGGTCACGTTCTCGCTCCGGATAACGTGCGCGGCTATTTATTTGTAAAATCATCGGGACGCTGAAACTCGCAATTGTTACCGAAGAGAACAATTTATATATACATCTGAAGAAATAATAACATTCAATTAGAAACTGATAATTGTAACTCTTTAACTTACGGACGGACTAACATGTCATTAGGAAAACATGAATTGCGATAATGTGTTTGATGAAAATTAAGATACTAATAAAAAGATAATAATAAATATATAATATATATATATATATATTATATTATATTATATTATAAATATAATAAAAAATAATAGAAGAATTGCAATATGGAATACTGGCACGATTTTTCTTCAATTGTAATGTAATAACTTACTAATTGTTAATTTGCTGATTTGGGAATTTGTTGCTTCATAGTGTACAATCGTAAAGAAACCAATCAAATGAATTAAAGTAAACACATTCACAAATACTTGCAATGTATTTTCCTGCCGATGGGCACAATAAATTGCTTTGAGTGTAAAGAGTTCAATAATATTACCGAACCGAGGATCTTTACGGAAATTTCTGTTTTGTAAACAGCAGAGTAAGTTGCAAGTAGTAACGAATGAAAATTGTCGAACACTGAATGTTCACGTGTCCAAGTTCATCTCTCGCCAATGCTTTAAAAGCATCGCCTGTCTAAAGCAAATAATTGAAATTGATGGAAAATTGATAAAAGTATGCGCATAAACTTACTCGACTTTCCCGAGTTGCATTCCTGGATGGGTTGAAGGGTTCGTGGCATCGTTAGACGATGAAGAACGTCGATTTTCCACGCAGCTGAGTAACAACAGTCCGGCAGAACCGGCGCTTGTAAACCGTCTCATAAAGCGACTCAGGTTCGCAAGAGTGCATCAAGCTTCCGCGCCAAATCCCGCGAATCACTTTATCCCAAATAACTCCTATAGACGGTCACATTGTTAACGATCTCGAAATCAAATGCCTACCGCGTACAACTGAAAAGAATCTAGCAATTGTTCCCAATGTTTTCAGCGAGGACTTTCTCTTTTATCGAAATTGTCCACCGATTGCCGGCATTCGATTCGCCGTAAAATTGGAAAGAAAATATATGAGCACTATGACTGCGTAGAAAAACAAACGTGCGACGATAATCGAAACGTCGGAGCACCGTCGACACACGTGCACAGTCCGATCGCGAATCACGTGCGAACTGGAGGAGGATCGGCGTCGATCTCCGAGACCACTGGTACCAATTCCTAGATCACGGACAGCTGACCTTCGGTACCATGACCGCACTCGTGGACGCTCCGTGGCCACGAGTGACGACTACACTGAACTACGATGCCTAAGATGAACCAAGTAAACGGTCCCAGAGCTAAGTTATCAGGTAGGAGAAGCGTACGGACTTGGTTTCAATCTCCGCGGCTGCAGCAGGTCGGAAAGAGAGAGAGAGGGAAAGAGAGAGAGAGAGAGAGAGAGAGAGAGAGAGAAAGAGAGAGAGAAAGAAGTACACTTGTGTATTCACCTTCGTCTCGTTCCCTTCTTATGGACGCGAATACCCATAGAACTCTCCACTGGATCGCCGTCCCTCTTCCTCCGATGTGAAAGAAAGAGGACGTTCGCGGACGCGCAAGAGAGAAAGTTGTAGAAACGATTACAATACAGCTACATTTCAGACGTCAACACCACTTTCGTTTCGACCGCAGGACCATTTCAACTTTTACCGTGGCAGCACACAGTTCTCCGGATTACAGAACATACGAATCAAATTTTTTGACCCCGTTGAACGTCCAATAAATTGTACACTGGAGGATCTAGACCGGCAAAATTCTACTAATTAGAACGCGTAACAAACAGATGTTATGAAGATAATGTAGCAGTATTCTTTAATTGTTCTGCAGAGAGTCTGCAGTCGATTCTGTTTTGTTGTTTATATTTCAAGTACCGTTTTCTTTTAAAGATTATAATTAATACAAAATCCTATTGTTCTGCCAAAGACTTAGGCTTAACCTGGTCAAAAGAACAGTCACGATTGAATGTAGGGTTGTATAAACTTGAAAAGAATATTTTTAGAAACCACGAAACATTTCTGGAGAGTACTTTCTTCATCGTTGGTTGAAGTAATTCAAATTTACCGCCATTTATCGACTTGAGTGCCGCTTGCGGTAGAATCACGATGCTCTTTTTAGCCTCTGTACAGCGCCAATTGGGGTAGTGGCAAAACGCTTAAATTGTTAGCCAAAATTACTAACAGTTGGCTAACAGTTTTAGCGTTCTGTCGCTACAATTAGCCCAATTAGCGCTGTCCGGAAACTGAAAAAAACTTCTCGATTTCGCCATAAGAGATGCTTCCAGACTATCAATGATGAAAGATTTCAATCATTTTTACTCCTTCAGGGACTACGAGCATTTCCCGGTTTCTTACTGTGCGCGGCCGACGCAAAGTAGTCGGTTTCCATACAAAAAAAGCGGAAAAAACATATAACAATTAAAATTATATATTTATGCCTTACTTTTTCATTTTTATATTACTAGTATATAATAATAATAATAATAATAATAATAATAATAATAATAATAATAATAATAATAATAATGCCATTTGGCAGCCAATTTTTACTTTGTTATTAATATAAGGCATCACTCTTCAAAATGTGATCAAAACGAACTCTACCGAACTCATAATCAAAAAATAAAATGAAAATACAACATATTCACTTGACATAATTAGCCTGTGACACAATTTAAGTACATATCAAATAAATTAAATTCTGAAAAATTATTTATTTTCAAAGATCGAAATAATTCTAAACGATGATCTAAATTTTGGATGATTTAGAGAGATGGGTTACTTTGAAGCCACTGAAATTGTTCCGCTTTTCTTATGGAAACCGACCAATGTGCGTCATCCCTGACGGGTTAATTAAAGGAAAAAAAACACTTTCTAGTTACGTTCAATAGATTTATCGTTGTATCGTGTACGAAACATTAAGTCATACAAGGTAGTAGTTAGGTAAATGGTGGAATTCACTGAGAATATAAATATTGAAATCAAAAGTAATCTTTTGTAATGCTAAGATCAGTCTTGTGGATCCCTGACCTTGTACGGATCAATGTTAATTTACAAACTCAACAGATTGCACGAAACTATGAAGTGGCACCACTGTTTTCCCCCTTTAGAGAAGGCATTTGTTTGTCATAAATAATGCAGCAAATCTTCATTGTCACCTTTTCTTAGACCCAAAGTCTTTAAAACCCATTATCGCTGCCATTTCGTCCAAAGGCCCATGATTGTTTTCATTAACTTCATCGATTTTTCTCTTTCTGTCTTTCCTCTTTTCTTTTCTATATTCCTTGATCTTCTCTTCCTGTGGACAACGTGAAATGATACTATTAAAAATCGTACTTTCAACAATACGTTCATAGAATCCTAATGAAAAGGAAACTAACTTCCAACTTCAACTCTTTTACTCTTTGTTCTAGATCATAATCCTTCTTCTTTTCTTCTAACTTCTTTTTATTCATTGCAAAACGGGCTTTAACTTGATCTAATGTAGAACGTTCTATTTTCATTGACATGCCCAAATTACGTTGATCTAAAAGGATATCAAATTATTAGTAATATTGCTATATTGTATTATAAATAGTGATAAATGGGAGATGAATGTAATGTATTACGTTTTGTTCCATTGATGTGGTCCAAGAAATTAATTGAGTCCTTCACAACACAATCGCATACATTGCAATAATACCCTCCAGTTTGAGAAGATGGTGTATTCTTGTTAATAACAACACTTTTTCCTAATTTAGACTCAAGATCAACTTTGTAATCTCTCTGTTTCAACAATTCTCTTTTCACAGCTGGTTGTTTTGGAATTCCCAACTCCTCTTCAGCGATCTCATCCTGGAGACGCTGAAGAGCTATCCTTTCGTACTCTTCCCTGTTCCATTTTCGCCTGTGATCGTCAGGTCGCTGAAAAGTGTATAACAGAAACCTCAGAGTATTTACACATAAATCGATTATAATATTTACATATATTTGAATAACATTAACCAATTATTTTCAAAGAATTATTTAATACGCACAATGATTATCACGAATAACTTATAAATCAAAGCAACTAATTTATAATCCTTTTACGGAATTTGATTTATGTCACTACAGTGTATTAAAATTATTATTGGTTATTGTTGATTACGTTTTGGGAATTGCATATCATAACAAATCTGTTTTTCTTATTTTGCTAGGACAACTAGGTTAGTAAAAATTACAGTTTATATTTTCAATATTAACAAGGAATTTACTTTAACGGTAGATATATCATACAAAATTTAATCAACAAATCTATAGAAATATAAATTATTGTTCACTTACCATAGACATTGCTGAAAATTATTAAAGTTTCAATTAAACCTGTTATCTACAACAGAAATACACTACAGTACAGCACAGTTCTTCTCTATTCACCATACCAAGCCTCACTATTGCGGGGGCACCCTGACCAGGTAGAGAAACTGCTTCTCCTCTGATTAGTTGACGCTTCACAGCCAAACAGTGCTGCCCTCACAGTTTTAGACAAAGAGTGGAAGTAACGAGTAAGCAAGACAACACAACATCAACAGAATCCCTAGTGAAATATGTCACTCTGACGACTAAATGTAGCTTGTCTCACTTTACCACGCTTGCGACTTACTCTATCCATTACTCTATACTCGATCTCACTCTATTCGTGCATCCGTTTACCTGGCGCTCTGTCTGAAACATTCGGCGCGGTATTCGACTTGTACTTTTCGCCCTGTAGAATTCTCGACCACAGATTCCAGCGTATTTGCGAACGTATTGAAATAACGATGGTCTATGCAATTATTGAAATTTTCCATAACCCATACGTTATATTCGTAGCTCATTGTTTCTAGTTTATGAATCTACAGAATTTTTTTAATTCAGCCATCCCGGCACTTGTCAATTGGAACGGCCAGCAATCAATGTAATAATAATTTCGTAATTTTATTACGAATTTTACTTTCAAAAATTTGAAAAACAAAGCTGAATCTTGCATTCACATTCTCTTAGGAGGACTACATATTTAATTTAGTAATTACCTACAAAAAATTCTCGAACTCCTTGTTTTAGAGAATTTCGCAAATGTAATCCTGAAGTTTGAATCTCGCGCAATGCTTTCACGCTCAGGCGAAATCCCACCATCTCCCGAAACCTTCCAAGAAATTATTTCATCTATTTATTCAAGCAATTTATTCCATCTATTTATTCCAACAAACTGCTCCATCTATTTATCGGAGCAAACTATTCCGTTCATTTATTCAGACATATTCTATCATTATTCGAATCAGACGGGGCTATGTTCGAATTTTAAGCGACTACATTTATATGAAAAGATTGAAGCCCAGTTCAATTGGCATACTGTGATAGAAATAACTTTCTACATGGAGTAAACATGATTTAGTATGCAATTTTTCATTTTGCATGTCATGAAATAACGGTTCCGGAACAGGGTATTGTTGGTTCCTAGGTCAGCAATAAAAGGATCGACGTTACCTGCGATAATTAGTTTTGTCGGACCCTTGGTAATTGCTAAGCTTTTACAACCAAGGGCTCTAGTAGTGAACTAGCAATTAGAAATGGCTTACACAGAAAATTTTATTTCATTTGCGCATAGATATTTTCACTTCTGGAATGAATGAGGACGAATTTCCCTGCTTGCATGTATTTACGGCCTTGAAAAAGACCTTTATTATTAACTGAAGGAAGTTGTAAACCGTACGTCGCAAGGGCGGCCCGACCGGAGACCTTAGTCGTAAAAGCCTAGCAGTTAGGACGGCTCCAACAAAACTAATTATCGCAGGTATGAAAAATTGCATATTAAATGCATGTTTACTCCATGAAGAAAATTATTTCGATCACTGTGTGCCGATTGAACTGGGCTTCAATCTTTTCATATAAATGTAGCCGCTTAAAATTCGAATGCAGCCCCTTCTGATTCGAATAATGGTAAAATGTCCAAATAAATGGACCGAAAAGTTTGTTCCGATAACACTGTCCGACAAAATAAAATCTTTTTTCTGATTTCCTACAGCCACTATGAACCAGAATCCGAAAACCGAATTGCTCCATCACCCTCAGTTTTTGCAAAAAAACGAACTTTTGTAGAAACCTAAAATTTTCGACAAAAATGAGGCGTGCTACTTTAAATTTTTTGTAGTACTTCATTGTGCTGTCTTCTTTTACATATTTCTTTGGATAATAATCACCAAACTGTGAATCAAAAATTAAAAAGTACGGAAAACATGGTTTTAGGAATATAGAAGTAAGATTATTAATTTTCAAATGGAGAAATAATAAAAGAAAAATAATGAACGAAAATATTCATTTTATTCTGAATTTGTTCGAATTACAAGTATATCATGTATACAATTATCATTTAAATTATAGCGATAATACGATCATGAATAAATAATCATTTTCAAAGCGTTAGACTTCTTGAAACATATTGTTAAATATATATTTAAATATTTATTTAATTATATGGCGTAGAAGTCAAAATTATACTAGTGTTAGAATATTTTCGTTACCCACTGCAAATACTCTGGTGTGATTTTTTTCGTGAAATATATCACAGTTTGGTGATTATTACCCACAGAAATATGTAAAAAAAAAACAGAACATTGGAGTACTAAACAAAATTCAAATATTATTTACGAAAAGTGGGTGCACCATTGGATCCCTCCATCGGTGTGGAAGCGTGCAGCGAAGGATATGGCGGCAAAACGTCGTGTACATGTTGCCGTCGAGCATTTTCTCAATCTACTCGAAATGTATATCGTTCGGACACTTTTACCGGGCCCTTCCTTTTTCAGAAATGTCTACAGAATCCGATCCTGAGTAGAGTTTTCGTGCAGGAGAAACAACTTTTCGTAAAAGTACAAATATATTGCAGAGAAACTGCGCACGTGGACAATTTTTTAAACTTTGACATTAATTTATTGCTATTTAGGACCAAAAACAATTAATAAATTGCATGCCACTAAATTTCGGAAACTCTCCTCTATCTTTTAACACCGATTAGAACTTTCTAACGTTTTTACTTTTCATGCAATACCTCATTATTGTCGAAATTTTTGGGTTTTTACAAAAGCTCGTTTTTTTCTCGAAAACTGAGGGTGACGGAGCAATTCGGTTTTCGGATCCTTGATCGGGGAGCGAAGTTCTACAAGAATTTCATAGTGGCTATAGGAAATCAAAAATCGCGTCGGACAGTGTAAATAGATGAAACAGTTTGTTCGAATAAATAGATGGAATAAATTGCTTGAATAAATAGATGAAATAATTTCTTGGAAGGTTTCGGGAGATGGTGGGATTTCGCCTGAGCGTGAAAGCATTGCGCGAGATTCAAACTTCAGGATTACATTTGCGAAATTCTCTAAAACAAGGAGTTCGAGAATTTTTTGTAGGTAATTACTAAATCAAATATGTAGGCCTTCTATGAGAATGTGAATGCAAAATTCAGCTTTGTTTTTCAAATTTTTCCGAGCAAAAGTCGTATAAAATTGCTAAATCATTCCTTGTTTTCGAAAATTCTTCTCGTAGAATAGGACACTGATTGCTGATTGATCCCAAGTGCTGGGATGGCTGAATTTAAAAAATTCTGCAGACTCATAAACTAGAAACAATAAGCTACGAATATAACTTACGGGTTTTCGAAAATTTCAATAATTGTATAAATGATCGTTGTTTCGCGTAAATACGCTGCAATCTGTGGTCAAGAATTCTACAGGGCGAAAAGTACAAGTCGAATATCGCACCGAGTGTTTCAGACAGAGCAGCAGGTAAACGGATGCACGAATAGAGTGAGATCGCTAATTCGAAAAGACCTCTAATTCGCTAGAGGTTCTGTTGACGTGCTATCTTGCTCATTCGCCACTCCCTCTCTTTGCGTAAAACTGTGGGGGCGGCACTATTTTGCTGCGAAGCGTCAACCAATCAGAGGAGCTTCGCTACCTGCTCCGGTATTTAAACCCGGTTACTCTCCACGTGGGTTTAGTCTTGTTGCGTATGGTGAACAGTGAACGTCTGTGCTGTTCTGTACTATATTTCTGTTGTGATAACATTCGTGATCCAAAGTTTTAATAATTTGAAGTAATGTCTCTAGTAAGTGATCATTAATTTATATTTCTACAATTTTTTTTATTAAGTCTTGTATGATACATCAACTGTTAAAGTAAATTCCTTGTTATTATTGAAAATATAAGCTGTCATTTTTACTAGTTGCCCTAGCAAAATAAGAGCCGATGCACATCTACGTGCCAGCAGCCGTGCTCGATTGAGAGTACATATTCACATTAGTCGTTCATTAGTCAAATAACTCCTTTATTTTTCACTATTTTTTTAAGGGACTCTTTTCAATGCAATCGTGAGCTTTATCTGATTCAAATGAGATTTTTATTTTTGTAGTTTATACATCCTCCGTATCGAAATGATTGTCTAATTTATAAATTTACAAGAAAATAACATGCGCCGTTTAATTATATAAAGATAAAAATGACCTTTTTTTAATATAAAAATAACCGGCAAAATTGAGTGGACACTCTTCAAAACGCAGTATTTTTTTTAAAGCTGACTAAAGGAGTAGAAATTTTCTAAATAACAGTAGAACTAGTCTACTGGAGAATGACTGTAATGCTTTTTTTAAACACTGCTATTACTTGAAATGACAACAAAAAGTAAAAACCT